GGGGAAGGAGGGGTATCAGTCTTCGCTTAAAGAATGGACTATAGTAAGTAATAGTAAGTTAGGGGTAAAGTCGAAGGGGAAGTCCAGAGTCCTCTTCGGAAGCAAAGAAAAAACATTGAGAGTGTTTGCGAACTTTTTTTGAACTGATCAACGTTCCAACTGAAGAGAAAGCCGAGAGAGATATGTAGCAGCTACATTGCTGGCTTGGATTAAGTTACTTTGCAAGTGAAGCTTCGAGGGGAAGCTGCTTTTTGGATGATAAGGTGTGTTAAAAATGAATACCATCAAATTATTTAAGCCATAAACCACACTTTCTATCCGTTTAGCGGCTGATAAACCACAAGGAATGTTAGGAGAACAAGAGAAAAGTTTATAAAGTGCTACTTAGGAACATTTCAATTCAGAGGGAGAACACGCAATTTTTGGGGGCCAGAATTGGCCCTACCAATGCGATAATGATCACATAATCGGTACAGAAAGTTTTTCAAGTTTGTAACCTAGGAAGCAGTTTCGATATTTTCCGGAGATTCTCGGCGAAATTAAGGGTAAGTTGTAGAATTTTAACGGGATGAGGTGATATCTATATATTTCGAATATCAGAACTTAACTTCAGAATCTTTAATAACATTATTAGACCGCACCACGAGAAAAAAGGCAAAATCGGAAGACAAGAGCAGCGTGCCGTATACACTGATTCAAATACCGTCCAGCTATTTTTTTTATCAACCGAACACCATTTTCCTTCACTCCAAATTTTGTTTCTATTACCTCAGCTTTCTCGGAGTCCTCGCTTAAATAAACAGAAAGAGCTTAAAATGCTTTAACTTTGGCAAAGCTTTCAATAAAACCTGGAATCTCAGACAGTGAAATAGTAAGTAAGAGTTTCTGGAAATATTTAAATGAATACTCAATTAGACTGTCGCCATAATTTTCATGAAGTGAAATGTCCTCAGTCTCCACGAGCAGTTTGGGGAATTCTAATCAAGAACTTCTGAAGTATTATCACTTAAACCAAGGAACGAAAAATGACGGCTTAAAACGTGAAAGCAACTAGTTAGTTAAACTGCATTTTAGGTTATGTCATAAACAATTTTAATGTCCAAATAAATTTCAAATCACCCAGTAGGAAGCTATGTGAGTTTACAGAAGAGAATGTTTAACAAAGACAAAAATTCAACTGTCTGAGTTAAGCTGGAGCTCGGACAGGTTTCTTTTATTTCACAATTTAACTCCTTAATAGCTCTTAGCATTCAAACGTTTCAGTCTGCTTTTTTAAAACGATATAAAAATGTCAAATTATGGACACAAATCCATCCCGCCATTTTGCCCCCTTGTGCCCTCTATTGGAATATGCAACTACAATCTGGCTAAATGTCTGTGCCATCTGCAAACACCCCACATTTCAACAAAACATTGTGCCTCGGACACCTGCTTTCGGGTTTCCTCTCACTCCTTCAACGAAAACAACCTACAAAACAAAGTAATTGAGAGCCTTATGTCAATTGTGTATTGATTATTCATATGCTAGATCTACAATCTGTAATCTGAATCCAAAATCGAGTCATTCCTTCAATAAACAATTTGGTTGAGTTAAAGTTATAAGTGTTGGTATAAAAATCATTATAAATTCATATTCGAAAGCATTCCCAATCGCCGGAAGTTCATTTCTTGCTTACTCTCTGTTTCTCTAGAAGTTCAGTTTCCTGCCTGAAAGTATCAGAACATGACTCGTTTTCTTCCATTTTTTAACAAATAGCCCTCAAAATGTTCCAAATATACTTCTCAATCCTTCTCAATAGATCTGTCATTTAAACAAATTGCCTTACCAGGCGATCTCACTTTTTTCTATCGTTTTCCATAAAAGGGTCTCACACCCACTTCGAATTTCCCGCGACCGCCATCTTGAATGGTGCGCACTGCACTCTGATTTGATGACGTTGGAGCCGGAGTACTTTTCAAGCGAAGAGAGACAGGAAAGTGAAGTAGAACATAAAGAAGAGAAACTGTCTACCACTGATACAACGCTTCATGGTGCTTATAATGGCTCCAAATGATGGGGAAGATCTGTGACATATTCTCCAAAATTTTCTTCAGACGACTTTAAAGCTTCATAATCGATGATAATCAATGCTACTTGGCATAAAGATATTTTGTTATCTGATAATCTTTTAAGCAAACATTTCACAGTAAAAATTAATTGATTTGTTAATACCTAAATTCAACCATAACAGACACTCATTCCTCTTCTTCATTTTGCACAAAAAAAAAAGACGAAAATCATACATTTCATTGTGAACAAACTACTGATCAAACCAGCTACCTTCGATAGTTTCAATATCCGCCACTGGGTTTATCAAGGATAAGAAGTAAATCAAACAAAGTTTACTTTCACCTATCAAAGCATCTATCAGTGATACAAAAAAAAATTAATGCAAAATGGATCATTTGTTAATTAGTCCAAAACCGCCACGATTACGTAACCTTGCTCTATCAGTAAATGGAAAGTTGCGATCAAACATTTCAGGAATTAGAAGAAACGCTGAGCTCTCACACGCCAAAAATAGGCCTGCCCTTGAGGATATAGGGAAATCTTGTCTTCATTATTTTTGCCAACTCGTTTAAAAATAGCTACCAGTTAGTGGATAGAAAAATATTGGTAGTTACAAAGGGATAGGCTGTTCGAGAAAAGTGGAAAATTATTTGGAAATCTTCCGATATGTCCTCATTTGTTATTCATTCCCAGTTTCTTTTGTTCTGTGACAATAGAAAGGTCAGAAAGGTAAACAACAGATCTGGATCTTCCTCTTCTTCCCTCCGTCAGTTTGTCTATCGATGATTTTGTTTTTCAGTAATTGACTATCCCAGCACTAAACTTTTTTTTAAGTCTATTATCTGAAAATTCAGCTTCAACAGTTTTGATTGGTGTTAGCATTTCAGGACTATCTATGTAAGCATACTGTTACGTATGAGGTGGCCTCAGCTAAAAGCCTATTGGTTTCAAAGGTCACCTCGCCATATATTGCACTATAGATAAATTGTTCATAGATTAGGTGAAAAAGGCAAAGACATTAATAAATTTGAAAAATTCATAAATTTGAAGATAGATATTGAAGTGCATTATTTCTGCCAAAGAACGCGAGTGTTTTCGTTTTTCTCTAATGGCTAGACGGCCTCGTGCACTCTACGCTTTTTTTACACATTTAATCAATAAACACCAACATAATTGTATTATTAGCATTTATTGCCGAGCACTCCCTTCAGTAAACAATCCTGTCTGTTGGATGGAAATTTTGCGAAATGTGACGAGGAGCCGTTTAGGTTCGCCAGAGAACAACATGAAAACAGCACCTACCTTATGGGCTTGAAGACTCGAATTTATGTCATATTGCTACTTCGAACGAAATCGAATCGAACGTATCGCTTTCAGAATATCACTTTATTTCTGATCATTCACAATATTTTTTGTTCTGTGACGGTAGATAGGGTAAACAAATGACCTTGAAAATTCTGTTCTGCCCTCGGTAACTTCTTCAACAAATTATTTTATGTCGCAATGAATTACAATCCCAGCTCTAAAACTCATGAGCCCATTACCTACCAGTTCAGTTTGAACGGTTTTAGTAAACTGAGTGATCGAACATTTGACAAACAATACAATAAGCGATTTCTATTTCTGATCGTCTGGACACGTCAGCATAGTGCAACATGGGATCACCATAAGGGAACAAGGAGTGTGAGTCGTTTGATCAACGTGCATGGATTTCGAACCAAAATAAATATTTTCACTTATTACTTTAATTATGAAGCAACCTTACCAGCGACAAGAACTGATTTTTTGCCAATGGCACCCCACTCAATCAATGTTGTTCTAAGGGTCGTGTCTTTTGCCACGTAATAAAACTGAAGGGGATTAATATCTTCAAAACAATTGCTATTTTCATTGCACCTTGTTACACCGAAAAGCAGACTAATTCATATATTAATGTTGTCTCGTAAAACTTCCCTCCCCCCCTTGATATTTTTTATCAAAAAACTACGCATATAGCATTCAATATCAACAAGTGTGCTACATATAGAGTTACACGTCATCATTTGAAAGGACGAAGCCCGGCCACCGAGGCGAGGAGTTATTAAAGAAAAACCTTGATATTAAATGTTGGTCTCCTGAATACCGTTAGATTCCGAAAAGATTCATGTGATGTTATTTCAGGAAAAATTGTTATCCTCAAAGAAAACTATGAAAATTTACTACTGATAATATTTTTCAAATTGAAAAGATAATTAAGCAAACTAAGTCTTGTCAGTGGCTTTTACATAATTTCTGCACAGCTTACTCACGTACGGTTTTAGTCAACCGCTATTTTTCCTTTCAAACTCGCTCGTAGTAAATGTCGATGTTGCGAAGATCGGATTTAGCTACGCGAAAATGGTTTTAACAAAAAGATGACAAGTCATTTATTTCCTAAACCCTCCACAATTCGCTATCATTATTTTGTTTTCATTCCACCGTGTTTATATTGAATGAATTTGCGTTTTTCCTATTTAGTGCTAGCAAACGACAATTTTCTGTCAATGTCATAGTTCTGTCATAGTACACATATTAACCATCATATTTTATAAAAATTTCGTAAAGCGATGGAGAGCACGCTGAACTATTTACTCATGACTTTTCCTTCTACAGATCCGAATGTTTACTTTTTTCAATAACAACCATTAAAGAGAATTTCCCAAAGACCAAATGACTCGTCCCCAATGATAAAGGTTTAAATTCTCCACACCAGATCACTGTACAAGATAACGATGTTGTAAGGAGATGTAAGAAGTTCATCGTAGTCGCTCAGTTAGCGTATCATTATCCATAACCTACGAATTCTCATTGTGCATTGTAAACACTTTGATAACAAAAGCTGTTGAACATCCCGAAATTTCCTGTTCCGAGGCAAAATAAAGAGAGTTGGAAGGTTGTTCACTTTATGCTGACTGATTTGTCTGCCATTTCATATCGGAGGGCGCTGAGAGTGAAAATGTTTCGCTTATTTTTTGTGTTGGCTCTTGCCTTTTTGTTGAGTTCCTTCGTAAAATCACAGAACAAATCAGCTAACCAGGTAGTGTAATCAATAACCCGGCTTAAAATGACTTTATTCGCATCGGAATTTGAGTGAAAGAGGGGGTCCTCGTGTTTTACTTGAGCGCGTAATTTCCCATGGCACTCTTGATTTCTTAACCTCAGTGCATTCTTTTTATTTGTACAAAAAACACTTTCCACAGAGTCATGGAACAGCGAAAAAATCAAACTGCTGTGCTTCCCGAGCTGGATACTGCAAAGATGGCGAGTAAAACTTCAAACAGAAATCTCTCTTTGTTTAGTACGGGCGTATTTCCCGCAGAAAGTCGAGAACCTCACTAATGTTCGAATTGTGTCAATTACTCCACAGGAAAAGACGGAAAAGATGGACAAAACGGTGAGTGTGCGAAAGTTTCGGTATGGTTTAGTTATGAAGTTATTTTCTTTTCAGTGTAAAAAATTAACTGGTTATTTACCTAGTACCTAACATAAAACCTTATTTGTTTTTAATGCAGGAAAAGATGGACGCGATGGAGTAAACGGTGATGTAGCTATTTTAGTTAAATTAAATTTTTTCAAGGTGGAATCCTCCACGACTGAAATTGGGGAAGAAGGGGGAGGGTGAAAGATTTTCGGAGGATAACAGAGGGGGAATCAGTGGTCACTGGTATTAATGTACCAAAGGGGGGGAGACTATGAACAATTGACTGTTAATCAACTGCCGATGAGGGGGGAAGGGAATAAAATATGGAGCCTAAGGATACATGACACAACGCCACCCCTCTCCCCTCTAATGACTGGCCTCTTAGGAGAATTTGGGGGGAAAATCAAAGACCTAATATTGTAGTGATTATTACGAAAATATCAGAAACTTAAATTTTGCCACTTTGTCAAATTACGATTGAAATTAAAACCTTTTACAAAATTGAAATTAAAAAGTCCTCTGTCGAAGACTTAATTGGTTAACCAGCGGCTTTAGTTGCTGTTTTGGTTTTCTTCTGTTTTCACAATTTGTACTGATCGCCATTATTTCCCACGTAGGACGAGATGGACGCGATGGGCCTGTTGGACCAAAGGTTATAAATTTTTAAACAAAGAATATGACAATTTTAAAAGCGTCGATCGAACTGTTACCGCCGTTACCTAGAGGTTATTCTCATTCATTTTTCATTATCCAGGGAGAGAAAGGTGAATCAGGCGTGTGTAGTGTGAAGGAAAAAGCTGGTGTCCAGGTTGGGCAAATTTATATTTAGCATATCTAACCTAAAGATGTGAGGATCTTTGTTCTGTCAATCACAAAAAATAAACTTTTTGGGACGTTTTTCTCTGGCTTTGATCTGATTGACCCTTGAGTTGTTACTTGGTTGGAATAATGAAATGTGAAAGAATTAGATTTAGTTAGAATTAACTTGGCAAAGGGGTACATTTTTCTGTACTTATCTGTCGTCGAGTATGTTGCGAGCATATTTTTAGGGGGAGAGGGGTGAACTAGGACAAAAGAGAAAGGATGGTAGTTCAAGCCCCAAAGTAAGTTCCGTGAATCCTTCAGTTAAATTATAAAACCCAACATCAACCGATATTTATAAGCAGTGGTAAGGATTTCGATTCGTTCAGCGGGGCAGTC